ACTTTGCTCCGACGTTAGTCGGATAATAAATTATAACCGTTTTATGTATCAGTTTTAAATTCTAATGGTTTTCAGAAGTTATGTTTTTCACGGTAACCCCCGAATCAGTTTTGCAAATTAAGAAGTTAGTTTATTCATTTATTTATTCAGAAAATTTGCGAAAAACCGCGTACTCTGATGTATAATAAGAAGCGGGGTGTTACAGCAAGTACGGCCAACCCTCGTCGGCCGTCCGGCGACTTCTTCCGGCAACTTTAACATGACTATACGAAATATAACAGAACATGATCATTCATGCTGGCTTTTTATAAAATTTATGAACTTTGTTCGAGAAACTTGAATTATATTAGAGAGTGCGTACTATACACACGGATTTGGCATTAAGCCAATACTTCAAATAAACGTGACATTCTCTCGAACAATACTGAAAATCTATCGAATAATACCCCATTTATTGTCAATTGAAATAGGAATCACTCGACTAAACTTGATCACAATTGAAGATAACTCGCTGCAACACATGACGGCCCGTGGGCATGCGCTAGGTGCGCTGTCCACTTCCTTAGGCCAAAATATGAACAAAGCCACTACTTGTCTCGACCTATCTTTCTAAACTGAACTTATAAGAACATAACATAATCAAATGGACATGGATTACACAAGAGATGTCGGGTAAACTTGAACATCACTCGGTCATGACCTAACACGGCCACAACCGGACCCTTTATGACATTTCCTTGCATTTCTTGACATGAGATGATTAAACTGAATCTAACATGATTCTATTAACATGAAAAGATGCTGGACATGAGGTTACCTCCTTAATTGTTCGGCTGAAAACACAAGAACGGACATAGTCCTTTGATCCCGTGCGTGTGTGCATGCGTATGCGTACTTGCTTAATTCATAAGATCAAGACTAATTTGGACTAATTATTTGCTGAGTGAATAGCTTAATAAATAAGCTATTTTCTGATCCCAACCTGCGGATTTATTGTACGATGAAAACTTGCGAAGGATTGGGATGGAGGCTCGGCTAATGGCTGTGCGCCATGTGTCGAGTGCTGAGGGCTTAAGAGTGGCATTTGGGGCTTAGTCATCCAACTTGTTGCCTAGTCACGCCCAAGACCCTTCTCATGTATCCATGTTTACAAAATTTGGTGACAATGCACGTGAAGGTTAGGAAGTCTTAAACTTTCGGCGATTAGTTTTGTTAAGCACGGATTAGACGTGCTTATGCGCACTAACGGCCGTGCTAAACATGCTCAATGCTAAACTAAACATGATTACTTTAAACATGATTAACCTTAAACTAATATCATTAACATTAAACTAATCATGATTATTTTAAGCTAATTATGATTAATCAGCTTAAACATGGATTAAGTTAATTAAGCAAGGGTTAATGACCATTACATAATTAACGATGGACGGTGTACCAATGTGAACGCATCGCTGTATAGGAAAACCGAACTTGACATAAGGAACTTTAACCGAATTAATTGTCGAAAAATTATTCCGAACATAGATGTGACATTCAAAATTTAATTCGAACATTCTTGACTTAGACGATTAATCCGAACATTAATATTTCGAATAGTTCGTCAACTTGGCTTATTAATTCTGAACTCATTAACTAATTAAATGAATCGGAATTAAATCTGAAAACTCATCCGTTTATCAAATCGAATAACACATCGACTAATAGTCGAACTTGGAATATAGCTGGCTGAATTACTTGAACTTGATCATAAACATGATTATTTATTAACAAAGGCTAGCTTAAAATTAAAAGCTAGTATTTTCCTTTATTAATAAACTTCGGGGTATAACAAACGGAATGTGACAACTCTCCACCTCTTGAGCCCGACTCATGGTATCTGCATAAGACATCAGCCCGTGACTCCCCACCAGTTCACGGATCCTCTGATTGAGCCCCTTGAGAAACTTGCGGGCCTTCTTGGCATCGGTATTCACCGCGTCGCCCCCAAAAAGGCACATTCGGGTGAAAGTGCGGATATACTCATCCACTGTGGAGCTGCTTTGCTGCAAATGGTAGAACTCATGCTCCATCCCGTCCCAAAAGCTCAGGGGAAGGAACTTGCCACGCACCATCATCTTCATTTTCTCCCAAGTGAGTGCATGAAGCTCCGCCTCTGGCCTCCGAGCCCAGTGGTCAATCCACCAATCGGAAGTAATGCAAGCGTAAGCGTCCTGGTTTGGTTTGGAGTAGATCGGTTCTTGTCCTCGCCGGTAGAATGCCGGAAACCTGCAAAATAACTCTCACACCGGGGGTTGTGTCCGGTGAAGAGCCTCCAATGCTTAAGTCAGTATGTGTATGAGTATACTGGAATTGGGAGAATGAATAGAATGTGTTTAGGGAGAAAGGCTCACCCCCTTTATATAAGGGTGAGATACCTGCCCTAAGAGCTGCCCGGATGAGGTGAGCTGGTTGCCCAAGCTGCCCGTCCGTACTCTGACACTCCGCACACATGTCAGAGGTGGCGTAAGACGTTGGGAGTTGTCAGAGGTGGTTATCACCATCACCCAATACATTGTCAACACGTGTTTTCCCAGCACATGGGGTAAATATTCTCTGGAGATTTCAGTTAGAGGCTCCTATGCGCGCCTATGATACACGCGCTCACAACTAGGCCGACTGTTGGTTCCTCGAAGCGATCGACCTGTCGAGGTCGAGTAGTTTGCTCGATCATGCGTCTGGTCGATACGTCTGGTCGACTATCTGAATATTCGATCTTCTCGCCCTTTCGGCTTAGCTTCCCCTCAGTTTAGCCTTCTCGACCGGCCAAGTAGGCCAGTTTATCCTTGAGTATATAATATCCAATATTATCTAGTCCCCCCACTCTGGTCGAGTCTAGATGACTCGATCTAAGAGTGAATTGGTATTTATCGACCTCCTTGATGGTTCGTCA